ATAACTATGAAAATTTTGGATGTGCTTTCAATTTTGAAAAAAATATGCGTAAAATAGAAATTCAGCAATTAATAATTAACAAATGTTTTAATACTTTGTACCACATATTTATGAATAATGACAGGAAATTAAAATTGCATAAGTACCAAATTATTGATTTTTTTTAATGTATTGCCTTATTGCGAGTATGATGCATTCCGTTCAAAATACTGTTCGCGCTTGTTAACCCTCTGAAATACTTCGACTGGAACATTTTGTCTAATCAATAAGTCTGCTGAATTGTTGAACGTAATTTATAGTATGTACTGTTCATTTTTATTTCATAGAAGAAATAGTCTATTCAGAAAAGAAATTTGATATATGCAATAGAAATAATTTTCGATGTATAGAAATGTTTTTAAATGGAATTTTCAAGGGACAGTAAAATAATTCGATATATAGAGAATTTCTATATATAGAGGTTCGATATATGGAGGTCCGACTGTATCTAAATAGCGTACATTTGCTCAAAACGTGCTAACCGTCTCTTTCGATGTTTAAATGAGAATTACCTCGAGGATGCGCAAACAAATAAACATATTTCATTTCTAAATTGTAGTGATAATAAAGTAAAATACCCAGCAGTAGATAGTTATTTGTTCCAAATGGGTGTAAAATCCTTTATGTTGCCAAGAAAACGAAATACATCATGGTTTACGAAGCTGTAACGGGGAATAAGTGTTTTTCAACGTCGATCATTAAAGTTCGATTGCCACACTGTTATGCATGTTTTTAGAAGCTTTATTGTCGTTCGTATGCTTTAATCGGTTTGGTAATACTCTTTCTTAGACGAAACAAAAATATTTTTACAATGCAACTTCTTTACTACCAATGTTTTAGTTATAAGATGGTTCTCATGATTGTATTAGCCAATACGAAAAGTAGATCTCTGGGATGTTTTCCTAATAATACCCAGTGCGTCAATTTCCACGTGCATCAATTTCACTGGCCGACGGAATATTATAGTTTTTGTTGCGTTTTCACTAAAGGTTTAGTAATTAAAGATTAATGGAAACTAACTAGTGAGGCATCTACAACATACATCATCTTTAAGGATTCATTACTATTTACGCGTTACTATTTACATGGTAAAGAGAAAGTAATATAAGGCTGCAAGAAAAATCTTCGAATTTTCGCCCGAAAAACTCGTTTTGTGATGCCCTGATATCGAAAGTGGACAACTCCTCTTATATACAAAAACTTACTCCCTCAAATACGTTGTATTGTCATAATCCACGATTTGTGAGTCCTTGATACCGGAAAAATAGTATACGGCAAAACGTGTGCCTATCTGTTCTTTTAGACAATTTTCTCCTTTTTTGAAATTTCCCGATTAATCTGGTCTACTCCGATGACCTGCGAGTATGAAACTGATATTTTTATTTTGGGAGTTACTTTACACGAAGCTTTCACAGTAAGTTCAAAATTTCTTACAATTGCTGAAGTATAATTTTTGCTGAGCTCTGAATTTTCGAAAATGTCAAAAGTGAAAAAAAATGCGAGAAAGTGTATGCTCTTGTATACATCACTAGCTTAATTACCAACGCGTTGGAAAGAATGCGTAGAAAACTAAAGGTAGTCTGCTACCAGTCAGTATTTTGTAAATATGGAGCCCAATAGATTTTGATGGGTTTTGTTCAAAATCTCCAAAGTTTCCACACAATCCTGCAACATTCTGAGCAAATAAAATGAACGAACAATGATATCGGTATCATGCTTGCGTTAAAGACCACTAATGTGGTCCTTAAATTCATTCGTGATTCAACTTTAAATGAATCAGAAACAAATAATTGCAAAGTATACAAAACAAAATCGTTACGAGGCAGTAAAATCATCACTCATGAATACAGAACTATCATTTCCGATTTCACAGTCTTCTATATGACTTTTTAGGCTTCATTTTTAATGCGTGACGACCACGAAAAGCTTAGGTTGAAACGTGATTCATTTACAAATTAAAAAAATTAAGCATTCGCGTCTTATTCAACAATTGATAAAATTGCTATTTAGATAAATTCATAATGGAAATAAACAATTAACGGATATTTTGTGCCCATCTACGAAATGAACACTTCGTTGAAGTCGAAAATTTGTGATATTAAATTCATTTTGCCAGTTAATTTTATTTTGTAATTTGTTTTCTTTTTCAAAGCTCTCATTTATTTTCGTTTACTTCAAAATGTCCTAAATAATAGAAAAGAAAAGCCTAATTCATCACCTATTTTAAACTAGAATTTCAAACTGAATAAATCAGATAATCACGGTGAGAACTTGATTTATTTCAAAACACGGATTTTAGACTGAGTTTCATTTGTAGGCCGAGGATGCGCGTGCGGTGTAAAAGAGCGCTTCTATCGGCGCGTTTTCGCCGTGTACGCCGCACTGCTCGCCCGCCAGCCGCAGCGTCGTCTCCGAAAGGGCAGGCGGCTTTGCGCAGCAGCGCTGCCTCTGGCGCGGCGTTTCTTGCGCCACCGCCGGCGCGCCAGCTGCGCCTTTTACGACAATGCGTTCGCTCGCCGCGCACCCCCCCCCCGCACTCCCGGCGGCCCGCCGCGCCCCGTGCTGCCGGTCGTGGGTGACCGCCCCTGCGCGGTCGCGGTCAAGGCTCCGCGGCGGACGCCGTCGCGTTGCGGGGGCGATCTGGGTCGTTCCCTGCGTGGCATTCCCTACCCTCTGCCGGCGACGGTCGTAGTGAATGCCAACGGTCTGTGTGTGAGTGAGTGTATGAGTAAGTGAGTGTATGCGTGAGTGAGTGAGTGTATGAGTGAGTGAGTGTACGAGTGAGTGAGTGTATGAGTGAGTGAGTGTATGAGTGAGTGAGTGTATGAGTGAGTGAGTGTACGAGTGAGTGAGTGTACGAGTGAGTGAGTGTACGAGTGAGTGAGTGTACGAGTGAGTGAGTGAGTGAACCGCCGTGCGACAAATACTTCCACTCATCATGTTGTATAGCAGCGGTACCGAACATTCCTTGTTTGTGCAGACCTCCTGACGTGTTCATATTATAAACACTTTCAACAAAAGTGTTTTTGAAAACAATTTCAAAAAAAAAATAATGAACATTTTTTATATATAAAATCCAGCATACACATCTTTTATTGTTCACCTCAAATCCCAGCTGTTTAAAAATAATATTGTTCCACATTATGGAAATTTGCGTACATCATCCATTAAATCAGTGGAAATCCCTAGGATGTACGCGTTCCTGAAAAACGTGTGATGAAAGAAACGTGATTCTTACAGTTCAATTCAAATGAAAAGACGTATGACATAAGCGATGTTTTTGAGAATGTTGTGGCTTATGTTAGATAAGTTCTTTCGAGAAACCTTAAAAATCGGTTTAATAGGAATTAATCAGTTATTATTTTAATCAATCTTATGTAAATAAGAAGTAGCATATACCAAGAACTGATAAACTGCTTTAATTAACAATAGTGTCATAAAATAAATTACTTCCAGATATATTTACAAATTTATTAAAGTTACATACTTCGATGAAAATGCTTTCAAATAATGTAAAAACAGAAGAGTACAGTAGCTCTTATAGAATACCATATCCTCGAACTTTCCAATTACACAATGTCAGCTACTTCTTCTTTTGTCATCGATGATTTCACTGATTATTGCGGACCTCATTGTTAAGCAAATTCAGAATATCACACGAGTTTCAGGCCAACCGGTACGAGAGAAATGTGAAGGCTTATTATTTCTGACAATCCAGACTTCAGCAGTTATTAATATTGAAGACGTGAAAACAAAGTTTCAAGTGAAACTGATCCAAACATTTTAGCGCTGTTTACGTAACGAGGCAGCAGTATCGGTAATTGACGCGGAGAGATAATTTCGTTTTGAAAAATGTGTGTTAAAAAAGACAAAACATAAAAGTCGGAAATATAATGAAATGGATATGTGCAACGAATGGCAATTTCGTCATGACTGTAGAGATCTTTTATATGCTGTGTGTATATAGTAGTATACTCATTGTGTCAAGATTAGAGTAGATTGTTTCGTTTAAATTCTATCTTAAAGAGAACAGCATTGTTTTATATGCATTGTACCATATTGTATAAAATATATTGCCCAATGTGTTTGCACATTTTAAAATTGATTGGTGCTTTTTACTCATATGTTTTTAATTGGTTTTACTGGCTTACATTCTACCTTTAAGAATTACATTTATGCTTGATATTATAGCTAGGTGCTCGTTAATTTACGCGATGATTGCGCTTTTCAACTGCATTCTAATGGATGCAAATTGGAGGAAATGTGAAGTTGAACTTGGTCTAGTAAGATATGTATTTGGTTTCATTGTAAGAATTATATAGCAATATTGTATTATGAATTACGACTGCTACCTCATTCCACTTTTTTATTCTAAATACAAAGTTAACATTTCTTGGTGTTGATTTATACGTGCAGTCTATGTGATTTATATGTATGTGTATTTATTATATAATGTATGTATTTTATGAATATTATTCGAACATCAAATAAACATGTGTATTTTCCTTAAATATCGCGTATTTAGTTTTAAATTTAGTTCTGTAAAATTTGAATTCATAATTGCGATCTCCCAAACAGTGTTAAGAGAGATCACCACCCATAATTTAAACTTTAAATGCTCGTACTCAAGTCACTCAGCTCTTGTCACTCCTTTACTTCCCAAAGGCATATTCGGCCTTTCGGCTAAAGGCGGCTCCACACATGCGGCATTCGGCGAATCCCGAGCAACCGCTCGCCGAATCCCGAGTAGTGTGGACGGGTTGCTTGCGATTCGCCGTGCGCCGAACATTCGGCATTCGCCCTGCCCACCGCCTGTCGACACATCAAAGGGAGCGAACATTCGCCGAACACATCAGCTCGCTACTCGGGGGATGGGGCCGAATGTGCGGAGCCGCCTTACGCGGAGGGCCGGTGTTCCCGGCGAGCGCAGCGCGAGCGTGCCGGTGTGCGGGTGTGCGCAGGAGCTGCTGTTCTGCGAGACGTGCGACGCGGTGTTCTGCGCGCTGTGCACGGGCGGCGCGCACTCCGCGGCGGGCGCCGCCGAGCACACCGTCATCCCCTTCTCCATCGCCATCAAGCGCATGTCGGAGATCCTGCTCTACAAGGCCAACGAGTGCATCGCCAAGGTGGGTCTCGCCCTCGCCTCCCGACCCCCGACCCCGTCCCCTGCACATCCACACTTTTGAAGAAGAACAAAAATGATGTCCTATAGTCCTAAGACTGTCTTAATCGAAACTAACAACGTTCTACCGCTAAACGCAAGGTCGTACAAGACAAAATCCTTTACTACAGATTTTCAACAACCTACACAAACGATGGGTACCTGTCTGAACGAGAACAAACAACACATTTACGAGAAAACTACAAACATTCTAACCTGCACATTTGTATGGGTTGGGTGTATACGTATACCTACATAATTCTGTAGGCTGGGTCGGAAAGGACCCAACCAGCCTTCTCCGCCCCGCCCCGCTCCAGCCTGCTCTCTCCCCACCCAGCGCCTCTTACCCCTCCCCGCTCCCCATACCCTACCCAACACTTTCCTCCTCGGCTCTCGCTTCCCGGACCTCTCAACGTCCCTGCTCTCTGCACCTCCCCTCTCCCGCCCTGCCCTTCGCAAGAAACTTTCTTCCCGTTCCCCTCCACGCGGCATCTTCTCATTCTCCCTGCCTCGCCACTCAGCTGCTCTCCGGTCAAAGTCTCCCCTCCTCGCCTGACCCGCCTTCCCAGAACCACTCCTTTCCCCCACCCACCCAATTCCTCTTGTCCCGTTCCCACCTTTCTCAGCGCCTCCCTCGCCCCCTCCCCAGTCTTCCCTGCGCGTTCTTCTGCCTCGCCGCGCCTGCCTTTCCTCCCACTCCTTCCCATTTCAACACCTCCAACAGCACATATCTTTCCTCTCTCCCTTCCACGCCTCACAACCCAGCACCTTCCCCTCCTCGCTCGCTACCCTCTTTTCCCGCACCATCCCTCTCTCCCCGCGTCGCCAATCAGCATTTCTCCTCCCTTCCCGCACCTCTCAGCACCGTCCCATCTTCCCCGAACCTCTGCTTCCTTCCCGTCACCCAGCAGGACATCAGCACTCGCTCTCGTCACCGAGCCTCGCTCGATACCAAAACCTCTCTTTTTGCACCTTTGCACGCTTCGACTCCCCGTGCCAGTTCCCGGCTTCTTATAGTTACATCTTTTTCTCCTCGCTCCATTTTCGACTCTACTATTTTCACTTTTGATTCTCTCCCTCATTCTTACACAACCCTTCCACCTACCTCATAAGCAGCATGCGTTCTGTTCTATTCGCCCGCCCCGCGCCCTCTCCGCAGACCTCGCGCTCTTCCGCACGCTGTTGACCACCCGCCCCTGCTCTGCACGCATTTCTCCCGTCCGCAATGGTTCCCCCCATTCCACGCGAACCGGTCCACCTTGGCCTCCCGCCCCTGAGCCCTCGCCACAGCCGCCACTGGCCGCGCCACGCCCCTTCCTCCCTAAGGCCCGGCTCTAAATAGTCTTCCGCCCCGCGCCTGCACTTTCGCCCCGCCCACTTCGCCCCTCCGCCCTTGGGCGTCTGCCTGGGCCGTCCCGCCTGCCCCGTCCCCGCTGCACTCGCCCGCCGCCATTCCCGTTCCCGCTCCACCCGCTCCCCTGCCACGGCCCTGCTCGCCCCGCCTCGCCCCGGGCGACGGGATGCGACTATCTACTTACAAAGCTGCGTTTGCATCCCTCAAGGTGCCTTGGAGTGCAGCTCAAACGGTTGCTGTGTTCACAAAACTCAATTTTTTTAACAATCGGAAAATGTATCATGAATGGAGTCGTCAAACAACTCAAAATTTCTAGATAACGAATGATGTAAACATTTTGGAAAAAGGAATTAATAGAGAAATTTCATAAAAGTCAGAAAAAGCCGAACAATTTAGAAATCTGGAAACGGTAAAAACCTGCAACTCGTGTTTATTTTGGATATGCTCAGAAATTATTTTTAAATGCAATATTTGATACGTAACCAAATTATTTAGTTGTTAAGAATTTAAATATTCGCTCTACTCATATGGTTGGATGAGTCAATTTGATTTTGAAAATCATAAAAAAACCTTTAAGAGCGGTTGATATATATTTTCATAACCACTTAAGCGATATCAGCGAATTTTTAATTATTTTTTATAACATTCGTAACTACCGAGAGAGAATTGTAGTGAATAGTATAAAAAACTATCTATGTTTTCGTAACCATTATTTAACTTATTTCAAAACTCACGCATCGTCTAAATGGCAACTTAAATAAACCGTCGACATCGTTTCCACTCCAAACTCCGTGAGTTCCAAAGCTCATCCTGCCTCTCCGCAGCAGTTCCCATCACACCGAACGCGCTCGCGTGCCTTGTGCAGCTGGCAAAAATCTCGAGTCGTGAGAACGGAAGGCTTGGTTTGTGAATTCAAGAGTTCGTAGCGCGGCCGAGACGCAGCGCTTCCCGGAACAATACGCGAGCGGTCGTCGTAAAGAGGGGAGTGTCTATCAGGCGAGCGTTGACTTCCGATAGCGAATGCCTGCACTTCCTGCCGCTAGGCGCTGCGCCCTGGGGCAGCGACTCCGCCGAAGGACAACCGCTCTCGCCCAGCGCCACGCGGCGAGGCGGAGAGCGTTTCGCTCCACGCGAGGCTCTGCCGCTGTCTGCAGGAGAATTCTAGCGGCCGGCTGCTCTCATCGGTAGTTTTCCGTGGTTTCGTCGATCAATACGAGGCGAATGCCGGAGCAGTACCCTAACAAACGGACCATGTCCTCGCGCGATTTTTCTTTCCTCTTCCCTGCCGTATCCTCACCCTTTACTTGCACACATGCTTACATGCACCACACACACACCGGGAGCTTGGAGCTTTGATCTGGGCTGTCCGGGTGACGCCGCGTCGATGGCTGAGGGGCCGACGTGACGACAGCCCAAATCATGCCTCTGGCCGCGGAAGCCTACGACATCATTTAGCTTAGAGCGTGTCTCGACTAAGGTGGTGCCCCGGTGGCGGTAGATATATAGTTAAAGAAAATGCAGCACGTCGACGTCCAGGGTGGGACAGGATCTCGCTATCACCTGGGTAAGATTACAACCGCATCCTGCTATGAAACACAGACTACAGTTACGGGACCTTAGCAGTTGCCCCGTCTAGAAAGAGTAATAAATGAACCAATCAATAAAATATCAACTGAGGCACTTCTCTGCGATTAGTGTTTCGAAAGAGAGAATATTATTCACTCTAGGTACACGTTACGCTCCAGTGCACTATGCCATCGGGAGTAACTCGGGAAGTGGATCTCAATTAAACGTGGGGGAATACGAGTTTTGTTTCTAAAGCTGCATTTTTTTATATGAGACCTTTTAAAGCTTCTATTACATTTTTGGAGATTTGGATCTGGAGTTGGGGGTGTCTGGGTACCCCCACATTATAGAATGGGTAGTCGGAATAGAGCGGCCTGTAATAAACGTATAATTAAATTGAAGGGGAAAGAATCTTTCACGATAAAATTGAAGTGAGTATACGATTTTCGGTGCGATTTAATCGCATCGCTTAGCAATACTAGAATGTTTCCTCACTCAAAGAATCGTGTATTCAAAGCACTAACGCACAGTTCAGAGGGTGGCCTTTCGAAGTTGAATATCGGTGTGCAGCTATTTTGACTTTTGCAAACAATGATTTGCAAAGTCTTGAAGGGGACCAGCTAGTTCTTGACTGTGTCTAGGTCCCATTAAGCCCCCTCCCCCCATCCATCCACCAAATCAAATTTGGTAGACGATGAGGATGATGATGATGATGATGATGATGATGATGATGGATGTAAATGGGAAAGAATGATCCGTAGCCCGTGGTGTAGAATTCGTGCAATCGCTTGAAAGAGATGGAAACCACTGAAAGCTCTGATCAAAGCAGTCGTCAACGAATTCGATTTCGGTGAGCACCACAAACGCACTACGTTCTGGCGCTTTGTGTACTGTAGTTCACTACTTCTCTGGCGCTTTGCCGGGAGCAAACCAGCCGCCTGTCAAACACTAGACCTGCGACCGTAAACCCCTGAGCATACGTTCGCCGTCACCGCCGGTACATGCCAAAGGAGCAATGAAACCACCAAGAACAAACCTACAGCAGCAAAGCTATACAGACGAGAGAACAAGAACGCAAACTTCCAAATTGTGAGGCGGAGTACGTAGTGCATGTTACAAGTTCCTGAACCTCTCCTTCCCTCTAACAACTCGTAATTGTAAGTGTATCTCACACATCGTCTATTTGATGCTGCATCACTCTAACGAGCCAAGGGACGCTCACAACATTTTCTATCCTCCTCCTGGTTGATGCATCAGGAATCAATACTCAATCCCACTCTGAAAAATGAAGCTTGAGATGCGGCTAGTCGCTTCTGCGCGGACGATATTACAGTAATTTCAACGGTCTCCTTCTCTAAGCAGTTAGTGCTGCATTGTAAGTGCGTGTTGTCTGGCGTGGGCCGCGTGTGCTTTTAACGCGTTCTCGTCATACTACGTACTCGCATAGTAAGGGGGAAAATATTGCATTGCTGCATCAAATATCAGCGATTTTTTTTGTCTGAAATATTCCTATTGTGGAGCCCAGAAAAAGTGAACAAATCTTGTTCTTAAGTATAGTAAATTAATTCATATATTGCGTAGTCAAAATCCTCGATTTGTGGGTCCTAGAGACCGAAAAAACGTTCGTCCGTCTTCACCTGTAGTCAACGCTACCCCTGACGAATTCAGATTCACATTTTGATGCTCTTTTAAAAAAAAATTGACATTCCCTTAACTATATGACCAAACTTAGGGTGTTAATTTTGGGTTACTTTATATGAAGTATCAAGAACATTTTCAAAATTTTCTCAGAAATGGCTTCGAATTGTTTTCTTGTACTTTTTCCTCGGATAAAGCAAAAAACACTAAAACGTTTCGCACATATCTCTTTTAGATTGAAGTCTCTAATTTGCCCAAAACTGCAGTTTTAAGGGAAGCCGGAATGGCCTATCTCGCCAATGTTAATGTAAGGAACATTTTCTCGGAAACTATTTAATTTACAGACTTAAAATCTTAGGTGGGTGGATTCATTACTTATAAGTATTTTAACGAAGTTATAAGTATTTTAACGTGGTTTTAAAAAAATATTACTAGTTTTTTAAATATATATTTTAGTACCTTGCAATCTGTTTTGTTCTTAAAAGTACTAACATTTATAAGAATATTGTCTAAAGTATTTAATTTTTACAAATCAGCGCGATTTAAGTATTACAGTACTGTGCTAGATGCTCTGTTTAAATTTGAGCATCCTTCTATTTGTAGTTTTTAAGAAAATGATCCCCAAAGATGGAAATTTCTAAAAATTACGGGAAGTGGCTCCTAACGTTTTCAGTGCATTCCTGATGCATATACTGGACAAACACAAACACCAATATTTTGACGCTATTCAACCCTCAATTGTTACCAGAAACAGTGGCACTAGATAGCGAACTATTAACTATTTCTTACAATAAAAGCAGAAATGAAACGGTCAAAGTCACCCTCGATGTGACAAAGCGACCACGCCGCTTTCAACGCTTCATAATTAGAGATTGAATTGAATCGATGCCTTATTTAATATTTTATTTGGCGAGACTCAGGACATGAGGCCTGCTCTTCAGCCTGACCACGCAAATTTCGCTACGCTCCTTTCCCCAACTGGCAGAGAAAGGAGGTATTTCTTGGCGACAAAACAGGCGATTAGAATTTAGCTCAGAGATGACGTATTAAGTTGAAACTTGACTTATTTAACACAGAAAACTATAAATCAATTAATTATTCAAAAAAGTAAAAAATAAATGTTTTTGAAAGAAAATTTTAAAGTTATTTCATTAAAATATGACTGCCTTTGTTGATGTTTTTTTTAGAATTGGTTTGTAGGTCCTTTAATTTTTTAGGCAGCCATTCATTCGCATAATACATTTTTATTAAAACCATATAATTTTTAGAATTATGTTTCGAAGGTCATTGCCTTCATCTTCAGGGTCCTTTTTTCAATTTGTTTTTTGAAGATGAAGGCCAATGACGTTCGATATATAGGTCTAAAAAGTGTATGATTTTAATAAAAATGTATTATGTGAATAAATGCCTAAAAAGTACAGGACCTTTTAACTAATTGAATATATATAAATAAATAATATAGCCTCTCCAAGTTCGCGAATGTGTTGGTTGCAGCTGTCGGGCGCGCGCGAGGCGGTGAGCCAGGAGCTGGCGCGCCTGGACCGCGCGGCCGACGGCTGCCTGGAGCAGGTGGGGCGCACCTTCGCCGAAGCGGCGGCGCGGCTGGAGGCGCGGCGCCTGGAGCTGGCGGCGGCTGTGGGCGCGGCGCGCGACGAGAAGCGGCGCGTGCTCGAGGAGCAGCTCGCGCTCATCGACGCCGAGAAGAGCAAGGTAAGGCTACTCTCACGCCCCATACCGCCCACCTCAGCCTATCCCACTACACCTACCACAACCCACCTCACCCTATCCCACTACACCCGCCTCAACTAACCTCACCCTATCCCACTACACCCACCACAACCCACTACACCCGCCTCAACCCACTACACCCACCTCAACCTACCTCACCCGCCAGCCACGTCCCCTAGAACCACCGACCAAATGCTATAAAAATTACACCTCCACCTACACCATCACGCCATTTACACCACTTCCACCCACCTCACCTTGACGTACCACCACCCTCACCGCCATCACAGCGCGCGTGCAGAGCGTGGGAGCAGGCCCCACGATGGGCCACTTCTCACGTAGCCACTCGGCGGCGGCCGAGTCTGGAGATTCAGAGTTCCATTTCCATCCGTCCATCATTCCATTTTATCTTCATCTGTAAGGAAAGTTACCGTCGGACTTTAGCTCAGAGTCAGCGTTACCTGTCTGCAGCGACTGTGACCGGGAGGATCTAGGATTCGAATCCCCATGGGAGCGGATTATCACTACACTATTACATATGTCGGGAGACCAGTGGCGGTGCCCCGTTGGCGTTCAATTTGCATTAAAGACCTTTAGGAGTATAAGGGAAGTGAATGCAAAATGTATTTCATAATAGTGCGTTTGGAATGTGTACAAGTACTTGTACTCGTATACTTGCTCCATAAATAGGCTGAATTGGTGAATTGGTTCAGGTTGAATAATTGAAAGAAGTTTGTCAGGGGATCGACGTGACATATGGCGCAGACATGAACTTGAATAAGCATATATCTTATTGAAACTTTACATTTTCTTGTTTTTTACTTTCAATATTAACAATTTAATTTTGTATCTACTAAGACTTCTAATTTTTCAGGAGCTCTGAAATAGGGGAAATTTTTGGGCTACTGCTCCTTAAGCCCATACCAATTATTTATTTTTTATGTTAATTCACTCCATTCTTCCCACGATGGCTGTGTTTGAAGTGGCCCGGCGTTGTTTAGTAGCTTCGTGTGGCAGAGCTCTCTGTCCAAATCCAGTTCCAACAGATGCTGCTGCTTTGTCCTGCCCGGCATTTATTTAACATTCATTCATCCCCCACCATCCCAGCTATCCAATCACGCTATGGTAGCCCAGCATTAAGATTTCTATCTCCCGTCAGCCCAACTCGGTACGGCAGTTTGTCCAACTCTGCATGAGTCCAGGTATTCAGCCACTAAACAGTCATCTCTGTGGCTCTTCATCTAGTACTTTTAATGTTGCATCCGCCGGCTCCAGTATCACGCAGCTCAACACTTCGACCTCTGACGAACCAAGGATTCTGCCCTCCTTCTACGAGATGAGCTCTCTGCCGTTCGGTGTAGCCCGACATCCAGCGTTTCTCTTTTCACTTAATGCTATTCAGCCTAGAAGCGGATTAGATCAACCGACTTGCGTCAGTTGGAATTATATTATGCCTGCTTCCCTTATTGTCTGTTTCTCGTACCGTTTACCCAAGTAAATACTCCGCGTTCAATGTTGTTTCTTGAATTGTAGAATTCAATTATTTCTATTTGTAACTTATTGTATTGCGACATTCATTTGTAGGTAGAGACATGTCTAAAAGTAGACAGTGACATAGTATGTGTCGAAACAGAAGATAATTTCCTTCCGTGTTATGTTGAGAAAGGCTCTTGTCTCACATTTCTGGGGGGGGGGGAAACAAGACGTATTTCTGAAATACGGTGCTTTTACTATTTCTTGCGAAGATAGAATTGGCAGAGTTTAAAAGAATATGTAAGAAAATCTCCGTTTCACGAGGAGAGACTCTGTGGAAGAAATGCTTACTTGTGCGATCGATTTATGTTACTTTATCGTTGCAAGTAAGGAAGACTTGAGTGTGGATACGAACTAAAATGTAAATAAAATAACCGCACTATTTAGCCCGCAAAGAGCACCAACTCCAGATAACACTTCGTAGTTGTAATGGAGGATTTAGTGTGCTAATGCTTACTTATCGCTTGCTAGTTACTCACTCCTTCGACAATCACAATCGTACTCTCAATACGCGAAGAAACCGGTTGACGTTATCTCACTTTGCAGAGACAGTTTAAAAAAATTGACTAATTCCTAAGGATGGTGGTTTTGCTTCATCAGCAGAGTTTATTCTATTACTCATTTCAAAATTTCATATGTGGTGTTGAGGGACAAAACTATTAGCGAAGGGCATTTTTCACATGGTCCAGCACTGTGCGTATAGAGGTAGACGGAGGTCTCGTCGCGTATCGTGACAGAATTCACAACCACCTTGAAAACTTTTCACACTTGAAGTATTGGGGAATTGAGTGCAACAGATACGCCGTTGTTTTTTGCTGTTTGACGAAGGTGCGTATGGGCAGAGTAATTTTTTCGCGTGTGTCGTCACGGGCTTTGCACGTGCACTCGGGACAGCCCGCGGTGCTTAGTATTCTATGGCCCGTGGGCGCCTGCTCGCAAAGGCAGCACGGATAGGCGTTTGGGAAGAGGCTTTGCACGTGCACGCGACGGCCGCCGCCCGGGGCGGCTTGTCCTCGAGGCGGCCGCGCTGCGCCTGGGCGCCGACAGCGCCGTAGTTGCAGTGTGTGTGTGTGTGTGTGTGTGTGTCCCCCTCTCTCTCTCTTTCTCTCTCTTTCTCTCTCTCTCTTTCTCTCTCTCTTTCTCTCTCTCTCTTTCTCTCTCTCTCTTTTTCTCTCTCTTTCTCTCTCTCTTTCTCTCTCTCTCTCTTTCTCTCTCTCTTTCTCTCTCTCTTTCGTGTTTCTGCCGTCATCTCCATCGCACACTTAAAGAGAAAGCCTCTCTCTTCACATTACGTCTCTTTTCGTCAACAAATAAGATTATCCTTTGACATATCAAAACGCTGGTGTAGAACTCATGGTAAACTTGGGAAATATCTGCATACCAAATTGAATAATCTCTGTCTATATTTTCTTTTTTAATATTGTGATTTGTTGAAAATCTGTTGTGTGTTTTTCAATAGAACTACTTTTGCATTTAGCATGAAAACTATATCAGAATCCCTTTTTATGAAGTATCCTATATTTTAACACTAGAAGTTTTGAATTTTTGTAATTTGAATTCTCCATTTGGAAAAGTACACAAGATTACAGTGTGAGCTGTGTGACGTTCACGAAAAACGGCTTCTTAGCCTCATGGGCTTTTGAGGCCGGAGAGTTCCTCGCGCACGCGTGTAGTTGCTTAAAAAACATACAAATGCATGCGCATACGCCTGCACACGTGCACTCAACCCCCCCTCCACAGCACACAAACAAGCGCGTGCCCAATCGTAAAATTCCTTGCAACAATCAGTTGGCATGATCGCTTACTATTCGTGGATTATGACGCAGGACACCAAGCACCGCACAGAAACTAATTCCGATTGTTTCTCGGCGTGACGCAGATTTACTAAAGTTGGAGCTCCTTGGGGTTTACTCTTGTGCATTCTGCCGTGGGGACGTTTTTACTGCGCGTCAAATGGGGCCTTTTATGTTTCCGCCTGTATTATACGAACGTGCAGCCGCAAGTTGTTACGTCAGTGATGGGACATTAACTGCTTTAGTGTGCCTGTTCGCCATGGACCATCTTTTAGCCGTTTTGAGGTAGTCACTAGGGGACTAGGGGCTAAACCTTGTTGCCAAGGCAAGCCTCTGGGTATCAAGCAGCTTTTGCTATTTTTCAAAGTTTTATATCTATATCATCGATGAACATTGTAAATAAAACGTTAAAAAACGTAAGTATGGAGTGAATTAGTATTTATTAGTTTTGGGCGAGACTACTTCTTAAGTCTCCCTGTACCTGGACCAGTGCCCCCGACGCGGGAGATACGGCAGAACACATAAATGTATGTCCCGTATGTCCCGTGAGCAAGCGAAGAAGGGAGGCGTCAAGGAAGAGGAAGGAAATATCGCGTGCGGCTCGTCCTCTGTTTGTACCGCTCCACTATTTGCATGGTGTCGGTGGGAGAAACTAAGGAAAAATAGTGATCAGAGCAGCCGGTTGCAACAATTCTCTTCCACAATGTGGTTTCATCTGCTCTCTGTCAAAGCTACTGTCAAAATTTCGCCACTGTTGGAATTCGAACCCTCGGACCACCCGGTCAACGATGCTGCAGAGGTAATGACAATGTCGCTGAGCCATCGACGCCAGGGTCTTAAATTTGTACGTGGCGGCAATATTATACATTTATCATTAAAACATTTATCATTTATTATTGGTTTATCTGTTGTAATTCTTGCCGTAAATTGTGAGCTGTAACTTAAAATGCATTGAGAGACAGGTTTATGTATGCAAGGAATAATTGAGTCGTTGCGTCGCTTCAACCTCAATGATGGCTGCTATTTGTTGCGGTCTATCTTTAGCTGCGTGGAGGAATTGCTAGCCTTGCGCCACTTTGTTGGACTCATCTATTCTGTGTTTAGTAATAGTAATAATGTATGCTAAAAATACTGCACGGATGTAAATTAGAAGTATTCGAGGATTTATTTTATTTTAATATTGTTTTTAACAGTATTATAAACCTTCAAGCTCGTACATATTCATATTTTTACTTAACTCTCCATGTGTAGTTATAGACTGATATAGGGATGTTCTGTCCTTCCTTACCTCATTTCATCTTACTTGGATCACTACTGCTAAATTCTTAAATATTGTGAAAGTAATGGATAATTTTCTCCCCAGAGGAATGTTCTCTTGTGACTTTCTCATTCGTCACTTGTTACACCACAAATTGAGCAACAAAATGAAGTTTATAATATTCCTAGCTCTACATTGTATAGCGTATCTATTTTTTTAAAATATATAGATATTCAAGTTACTAATAAGATTGTTTATGTATTTGGGTAATATATCAAAATAATGTTGTAATGATCTTTATTACTAATTGGAATTTATCCAGTCGATTGTGGACAAAATCTCTCTCCCCCCCTCTCTCCTCTCTCTCCTCTCTCATCCCTCTCTCGTCTCTCTCTCTCTCTCTCTCTCTCTCTCTCTCTCTCTCTCTCTCTCTCTCTCAAGTATTTTCTCTGCGGTTCCAAAAACATCACTTTGAAATTTTGCTACCCAGATGGAATGCTCGTCACCAGCTAGCATGAAATGTTTGAAATCGTCGTCTCAGTATTTCCAAACACAAAGACGTCCTTAAAAATTATTGGCTTTTAGAAGCTAATTATACAATTTTGTTATGATGGGCTTTTTTCTTTTAATACATATCGACCTCGTAAAAACATCAAACTCACAACATCGATTTTAAAAAGAGGCTTAAGAAACTCGATGTTAAGCAACATCGGCTTCAAAAATCAATCTCAAAATTAATCGACGACTTTATAAAACACGATGTTTTGAAAACATCAACATCGTTGTCGCATCATTACCTACTACTGTTTTAAAATCCTGCAACACAAAACCTCGCTCGCCGACACTCGTCCGTAGGGATTGTGCGAGGGCTCCGCCGCCTGCTGCGCCCCACGTGCCTCGGCGCTATGCGTCACGCCCGGAGGCCGCCTCGCCGCTTGACCTCCGCCGCCCGGGTGGTGCGATCTGGGCGGCGCGGCGCAACGCGGGCCGCGCCTGACCCCGGCCCGGGGCCGCCAGCCGGGGCGCGGCTACGCGCCGATAATTGGTTAGCGGCTGTCTGGGAGTCTGCGATTGGTCATTTGGGCTCATGAGCTGAGAGGTGATTTTTTTTATCTTCCTGATATGTGTGATGAGTAGACCTCGGAATTTTAGGCACAAAAAAAGGGATGATTTAGGCACCTAAAGTAGGTGACGAAATTATGAAATTAGGCATTAAAAGTGACGGTTTAGGCACTTAATATAAGTTACAAAAGGATTAAACCACATTACACATGAAAAGTTATGTTTCTGACATCTATCACTGGTCACAAAAGGATTAAATTAGGCCCTGCTTATTATTTAGGAAAGTCAAGTATTTTTACATTTATGCAAGTGACTACAAGCATATTATTTTATTCTATACTAGCGGAACCCGGCAGACGTTGTCCTGCCCTCCATATCTCTCTTTCTTCCTCCCTCTCCCTTTCTCTCTTTTATTTCTTTTCATTTAATCCATTCTTTCACCATCTGTCATCAGCGCAGCTGCTCCAGGAACATGTGCAATTGCTTAAGTGCGTTCTGATCGGAGAAAGAGCGTGAAACATCCTCTTTATTTTGACGTGCAGAGCTCCTCATGGTCAGTGTGTTGGGTGAGAGATTTCAGTGCGTAGTCGATTGCGAATTTGATCAGGGAATATTTGCGTTTCGGGAAATTCGGAAAAGCAATGGTTTCGGTATAAAAGCAATTAAAAACAGAGTACACAAAATATGATAATTCTTCGAAATTACTTGGTTTAGGCGAAATATATTAAAATAGGCGTCAGTCGCCCTTTTAGGTCATTTTACAAACGTCGTAATGGACATCGTACATTTCGGGTTCGGTTTGTTGGACAGTTAATCACCCATTAGATCGTTTTCGTGAAAAGTTATTTTCAAACATCCTGCCTCGTATTGTCCCTAATCATTTTTTTTCAAAGACTAGGATTCTTGTTTATGTTTATGTCTTCAATGATTTGTTACAACACGCGAAATTTGCGTATTTATTTATGTATAAACATTGATTTTGCAGGCGAATTTATTGAGCATTTTGCTAACATACTGTCCCTAAATTTTGTTTTCCTCGTCCGTCATGTCAAAATTTCTCTAATCCCTCTTTTATCCTTTTCCGCTCTTTCATTTTCTGATTCAACCTTCTCTTCCCCCTTTTCTTACTACAAAGTCTCCCCTTTCCTTGTAGATAAATGTTGCGTAGGGGAAAGATACTCATTCTTTTAGAATGTAGTGAGAATAAACAAGAAAAATTGATCCATTGAACATCAAACAATCGTGTATAAAGAGCCGATGTTTATACGAGTATTTATATGTCTACGAACTCCTATTTATTTTTCCAGTCAGCATGAGTCAACCGCCCCAACCTCCATTAGGCTGATTAAAAAAATGCTCTGGCTAAATAGTTTGTATTACTGTGCATTCCGGAATTATTCATTTCTTATTTGTCATTAATCAGTGTGATTATGTATTCACCCGCTTTCAGACCAAATCATGGGAAATTATATTAAATTGCTAAGAATGCATAACGTTTCACGCAAATTTCCCAAAAATAAACTATGTTTTGTTTTTCATTTACCAGTAAAAGGTCTTTCAAAGAAGGTGAACCATCAATGGAGACTTTTGAGCACATGCTGTTCGAGTTGCTTTTCCCCCACACTTTGTAACATTGTATTCTCTCAGAATATTCCATTTCTTCCCATTTCTTTGTGTTTTCTTTGCACGTAGTGATGCCAGATCTCAATCTGGTACCCCGCCCCGTCACTACATAAAAGTGAATATCTGCCTGGAGCTGAGTCTGGTGAAAAATATTTTCATCGTTGCAGGCGAGGCGTTTTAGGAGTCATTTCCAAGGCTTCTGTTGATCTTAGGAAGCTCTCGGAGGGCTTCAATCTTCTTTTATAAGGAGTTATGAGATACACCATGCGTTTTTTGTTTCTAGTTTTTCCCCCTTCCCTACCCATCGCTCCGCCCCTCCCGGCCTCAGGCAGCGTGTAAACAAAGTGCATTAAAAGTCAAGATGCAATAACGCCTCAATATTTCGAAATCGATGTTGAAAATAAAACCCATCAATTTTAAATCAGTTTTAAAATTATATACCTTCTTTTCTCCCTAATTACTTCCCTGGAGTTCACCCAATGCCCAACCTCATAACTATACCAAGCTACTTTTTACCAGTAAAAAAGTAAAGACGAGAAATAGCGTTCTATTACTCGGTCAATTCCAAGCGCTCTTGGTTGGTTGCCTTTGATCTAGCTAGAAAAAAGCATTCCTCCTTTCTCCCGTTTTGCTCTTTTAGAATTTAGAATTACGTTCTTCTTTCCAGCCCTTTGCCCAGGCCACTTATGTTTGAAATAGTGTTCATTTTACTGATATGTGACTAATTTGACAGGATTTTTGTTAATTTAATACATTTGTGATGCATAAAACATCGTCAACGAGTTCGAAACATAGGTGTTAGAACATATCTGCTCCACTAAATCGTTGTTCGATGTTTTGAAAAAATGGACATCGACGATGAAAAACAAATAGCATTGCTTAGCGATAGAGATAGATGTATAAACAAAATGAGTAATATGTTGCTGGTGATAATGACACCTTATAAATTAAGAAATGAGTGTTGTATAGGTATAAAGATATGTATTCCCGTTAAGATCTTTTCGATATTCATAGTATCGTTTTCCATCCAGTCACCGCAGGATTAATGCGATCGAAAATATCTTAAGTGAATAAATATTTCGGTAAATGGACAACACTCGTTTCTGTATTTAAACAAAATTATCACAGTTGCCGCCGTTTATGCACAATTGTTTGTAAATTCAATGTATTATTTTTAGTTGCTTATTCTCACTTCGTTCCAAACAACTTTTTGAAGAATTGTCAAAATCTACCTGAATAGATGCAAGGAAAGGAAAGACAGTGGTGTGAGGAGAAAGTAGAAGAAGTGAAGATGTATATTGCTGGAGAAAAAACACCGGCTACTATAAATCAATGTAAAAAATATCAGTATTAGTCATTTCACTCTCTCGTTTTTTTTTTTTTTTTTTTTTTTTTTTTTTTTTTTTTTTTTTTTTTTTTTTGACAATCAATGTAAAAGTTTTCAAAAAAAATATTTATTTTTCGCGTAATATTTATACGTATATGATCAAAATATTATTGTTTCATTAATATAATTATATCTGAAATCAAAATAATTAGGTCAGATTTTGAGACAGTTATATTCCTTTTTTTCCCCCACATGTTCATATGAAGATTTTTTAAAAAACTTGTATATCGATTGTCTAAAAAAAAAAAAAAATACTCCAGTGTTAAATGATTAATATTAGTGACAATCATACTGTTTTTATGTAGTACACATTTTCCGATACGTTAGCAAACAACCATGTGTTAAACAACAATTTTTTCCTCCTAGTAATCGTAAACCTGACTTGAGTGTGTAGGTAGTGTTTGGAAGTGGGTGATCTGGGCTGTCCGGGTGTCGCCGCGTCGAAGGCTGTGTTGCCGGCGTTTCGACCATCCTGTCGTGGTCTTCCTCAGAACTGGCATGCCTGCCATGCTCAGGGCATACCAGCCCTGAGGAAGACCACGACAGGATGGTCGAAACGCCGGCAACACAGCCTTCGACGCGGCGTCACCCGGACAGCCCAGATCACCCACATGACTCTGGCCGCGGGAGCCTACGACTTCAGAGTTTGGAAGTGTGCAGGTAGTGCCTGGAAGGGTGCAGGTACTGTTTAGAAGTGTGCAGGTAGTGTCTGGATGTGTGCAGGTAGTGTCTGGAAGTGTGCATGTAGTGTCTGGAAGTGTGCAGGTTCTGTTTAGAAGCGTGCAGGCAGTGTTTGGAAGCGTGCATGTAGTGTCTGGAAGTGTGCATGTAGTGTCTGGAAGTGTGCAGGCAGTGTCTGGAAGCGTGCTGACGGCGCGCGCGGGCGCGCGTGTGCGCAGGTGGAGCGCGAGTGCGAGGGCCTGCAGTACCAGGTGGAGGTGCGCAACATCACGCAGCGCATCGCGGGCCTGGGCGACAAGCTGGAGGCGGCGGCGCAGCTGAGCGAGCCGCGCGAGAACGCCTTCCTGGCCGTGGACTTCGCGCACGACGACAGCCCCGCGCGCCTGCAGGCGGCGCTGGCCGCCATGGGCCGCGTGCGCTCCTCCACCTCCTTCCCGGCGCTCTGCTCCGTGAGTGCGCGCGACGCTCTTGCTTTGAACGTCGATGCAAGCGATTTTAGACTTAATGTGCGTCGTCCTGGGCAATGTTTTAAAAATATCCTTGCTTTAAACACCGATGCAAAGGATTTTACACATATGCTAGGCATGCGACGTCCTGGGTGATGTTTGCCAAACATCCTTGCTTTTAACATCGATGCAAAGGATTTTGGACAGAATATGCAAGGGGTGCGATGTCAAAGTTTTCAAAATACCCTTGCTTTAAACATTGCTGCAAAGGATTTCACAAATAATATGCAAGGGGTGCGATGTCGAAGTTTTCAAAACACCCTTGCTTTAAACATTGCTGCAAAGGATTTTAGACAGAATATGCAAGGGGTGCTATGTCGATGTTTTCAAAACACCCTTGCTTTAAACATCAATGCAAAGGATTTTAGTCATAATATGCAAGGGGTGCAATGTCGACGTTTTCAAAACACCCGTGCTTTAAACATCAATGCAAAGGATTTTAGTCATAATATGCAAAGGGTGCAATGTCGATGATTTCAAAACATCGATTTTCTGTTCATAAACATCCTTGTTGGAAAAATTGATAAATTAAAGTCGATGTTTTTAGCATCGGTGTTTTGCACGCTGTTTTATTTTCTACTCCCATTGTATAATTCTGTCATTTGATGGCTGCAATCCGTTGCATAATGATACTCATTACGATACAGAATTTATTATGATTCAGGTTCTTGACCAATCACAGAGAAGTTTACAAACCATGTATTGATACTTCATTAATCATTGAGAATCGTTCAAGTAAATGTTTCGTTCGATTGTGTACATTGAAATTGCATTTAATATTATATTACGTTTGTCAGCTTTAATTTATTTCAGTATTAGTAAGTTTACGTGGAATATTACTTAAAATAAATTGGATCGTAATTTCAATTTGATCCTATTTGACTAGCGCGGTGGTAGTGGTAGAGGGAACATTTGATTGACGTTACGATCAGAACGCAAGTGATTTGTGTTACATGTTGCTGCCGTGTGGTTGCCCTTAAAAATCGACCAATTCTTTAGCTTAAAATGTGTAGTGAATCAGAGATTGAGTTGGCATCTCCTGAAATAAGAAAAAAAGCAATAATGGTGACCTCGGAATTATTGCCGCAACTTTTGTATTCTCGCAGGAAGACCAGTAAACCAAAGCCACCTGGGGAGGATAGGGTATCTCTCCGCTAGGTGGCCTTGGCTGAATCCTGCATGTCCACTGCCACGAAACGATTCAATGTTATTAATAAATCGTATATATAATACGTACGTTACGTATAAATAATAAGTCGTAGAAAAAGTACCGTATGAAACTCGATGTAATGGTACTAATACACTCGTGTAAACTTTACGATATTCGATCGAATCGTAATATCACACATAATGTACTATTGTGAATAAAAAATTTCATATTCACAATTTTGCAAAAGTTAAAATATCATTATTATTTCATATTTTCACCACTGTCAGTGTTCGTGTTCGAATCAAACAGTGTTTGCGATATCTTCATCGAGTGAACTGTCCCTCGCCTGAGATGACCCCGATGTACTCCTAGTACTTCCTGTCTTTCCTCGTATTTCGTACTTAAAGAGGAGGATAACACATGCACCGAGGGCGTAGGGCCTCCTCCTTCTTCCCATGACCTTCTTCTGCGAACTGAACTTCGTCTTTCCCCTTGAGATGTCCTTAGATGTTCATGCTTCTTATTGTTTTTAACTTTGTTTTGATTTACAACTTAAATATAAATTAATAAACTTCGCCACTGTCAAACTAAATTCTGTTGCGCCCAAATTTACTGCCAGACGTTACTAAACCAGCTCAAAAGCATCTATGTTTAAAATCGTGGTTTTAACCGTTGTTTCAGTTTTGAACATCGATGTTTTGTTATCGATGTCGCAAAACTAGTGCATGCGCGATATTACTCACACGCGATATAAAGGCGAGGAAAAGGGTGGACGTGCAGGGCCCCGGAAGAAGGGGGCAGCTGGGGCTACATGCCCCAGCCCCCGTCATAATGAGGGCCCCGTTTTTTTTCAATCAAAAGATATTAAAAATATATCTACTTGTAATTTAAATTAACCTATGTAAGTTACTATGCAAATTACCCGCCGTTGCCCGGCCTTTTTTTAATATCTAATCCAAGTGATTGAGGAAAAACATGTTATATAAACCACGAGGGTTGAAGATTATAATTTTTAATGTAATTGGTTCGAAATTGAATAAAATACGGTTTTTTTTCTTTTATTTTACAGTACATTGCTATTAGATGAAAATAATATCTTACGCACTGCTACTGGCTAGAGGCCGGGCCAGGCGAATCCTAGCCTCAATCAGCTCGTGGCGCTCTTATAGATACAGGTGAAAAATAATGATCGTGGTGCATCTACCAACATATTTAAATTATTTATTCTTTACATTCATGTTGTATTAATATTTGCCAAACTTTGCAAGGACACTGCGACAAATGTGAGGAAGAGCCAGTAAAAATTTCGTATCTACTCATACACTACTTTTTTGGGTGTTAATGTCGCTTATATGTCGTTGAATTCACTTTTATTAGTATAGATTAATGTTGCACGGGGAAATAAATTATATTTATGTAAATGAAGGGGCGGAGCGTTTGTTTGAAATCGAGGTGCCCCAGTGGATCTGCCCCAGGCTTTTTCTTTTTTGTGTGTCAAGGCGAATTAGAGAACAAGAATTAATTTTCTTTTAAGATAGGAAATAGTCCATGTTGCTTATTAATAGGGTCATTTCGGTGTGAAAGAATGATAATTTACTGATATGGATATTCTTTTAGTATTTTTGTGGTCCATCAATGAAAGTCAATTTTAAAGTAAAATCCTGGACGATTTCCTCAAGATAAAACGTATAGACAATGAAGTCACTTAGAATTTATGGTTACGGATTTCTGTACGTGCAATGCTTGTTATATAACAGTAGGAGGAGGTATTCCTCTCATGCGGGTTCAGTAACAATCTACGGTCTCTGGGTTAATATACAAAATCTCCAGGTTATGCTATCAATATAGTTTGTAGTAAATTACACTTTATTTACGAGATAATTTTTTTGCGCTTATTAATGTCATTATGGTAACTTACTGCAGATTTGAGTGATGAACGCAATATTATTTTAATTTAAAATCTTAAAAATTAATTTTATTTATCACTGATATGCTATTGCTTGTTATTTCTTCGAAATGGAACTCGATATACTCTGCATAAATTCCTCTGAATCAAGAGAATTCTGATTACGAGTGATATATGGAAACACTTGACTGACGTTATATTTTCTTTTGTGAAGAATTATAAACATTTTGCAAACAGACTTAAATTAGTTAATATTTAAAATTTGAATCATTAAAATTAGATTGAATAAAAAGTACAATATTAGATATACCAGGGTGTTAACAGGTTGTAATGACCGAACCACGACTAAAAATCCTCGGGCCTGTCTTCGTGAATAAATAACAACTCCGTTTCTCCGTAATTCGTGGCAGAACCAGGATTTTTTAATGGAGGTTTATAGGTGTACACAAAACGACTAAATGTTTTCTTGTAAAGAATTTTTCATTTCACAAAGAAGGCCACAACTCACCATATTCAGCTAAAAAACGAGAACTGCTTAGTAATATTCAAAGCGGCATCCTACAAGGCCTTTGTTTGGAATTGGGCGTTCGGCTGACGCGGCGCCTAAACACCAGCCGGCTGCGGAGCTGTGACCCGGTTACGCTAAAGTAAACAAACACTGCGGAGGTCGCTGCTGCTTCAATAAAGCCCGCTGTGAGATTTGTATGTTTCTTTACGACTGGCCAAAGCCCGCTCGAACGCATGTACACACTTCGTCAGGATATGTCTGCCGAGAGGAGCTCAAAAGGTGGCTTTGTTGAGGCTAACTGAGGAACACGAGTTGGCTTTGGATCTTGTACGTGACGAAAAGTCTTTGTGTTTCACAAACTCGCCGAAAGAAATGTTTGTTGTTTTGTTGATTTGTCAATTCCACGATCAAGCGTCTCAAACTTTTTTAAAAAGAATACTCAACTTTATAATATTTTATTGACAATACCCTATGGCTAATCTTGAGATGCAGTCGACATTGTGTTTAGTTGGAAGCCCTTTGATGCACGAATGATCTTTCAATGAAGCTGTTCTTTTAAAAGATGTGCGACTGTGCTGCGTTTTAAATCTTCATCAAAGCCTCAGTGTACCCACTTCGTGTGGAAAGGAGAGTAGTGATCCATTGATTATCGCAATCAATCTTCTTTTGTCATATTGTCGGGAACGAAATTTAATTTGATGGTACCTGCATATTTACCGTCAAAAAGAAGGCTGAAAGTTTAATTAATAAAACATCATCTAGCTTTTAATGTTTCTCTCCCTTTATTTCTGCATTTTTAATATCTCAGAGGACTATAAAGATGTTATTTATATTCTTTCCAAATAGAGTCTGCGCTTCGGCAAATTACATAATGCTTTTGAATAAGCAAAAAAATTGTTTAGTAATTTGTAACTCGAAGAAAAAAATGTATGGTTTAAATGAAGCTTCATGTTCGTTGCTAGCTTAGTGGTGTTGGCGAAACGTAATGTGATCACAATTTTATTTTCTTGTTGGCTCTCAGAAGGCTTTTGTTTTGTGTTAATGTAGTTAAGAAGTCTACTGGGAAGCGAGGCAGAAAATCGAGGTTGTTGATAAAAAATATAGCATGAATAATCCTCGCTTATAATGTTGGGTCCACTGAATCTACTCAGAGCACTTGGGTTCCTTCTCATACTGTACTCCAACTTATATTGCATTTTCCAGTGATAACTACAAATATTTCAGAAGAGAACGAAACACAATTTTTGTATTTAGAAAAAAAACTAGTTATGCATTAAAGCCCTTCCAATAATAGGCATTATGATTAATGTTATGTACTTTTTGAAATGCGTCAAAAGCTGTTCAGTTAGTTGTGAACTAATTGTTTTTCATAAGGTTGC